AAATAACGTGATGTAATATTTTAATGAAAATACGGTATCGTAGTTTTCTTTTGTTTCAAATTTAATTAACAAAGATTGATGTTTCAAATGTAATGAACAAATTTATGCAATTATCTATAAATAAACTTTTAAGTAAATAGATACTTTGTTTACATCGTCACTGTGTTACCATACCATGGATTTGGCTACTTTGGGCTTGCTATGATGGCCTTAAAGAGATCTGTCCTGGCAACTGTTCCGACACTCACAGCTGGTGGTGCGTTGGTGCATCGTTCCATTGTTTACTGGTAGTTACTGGTAAATATTTTTCAACCTAAACGAAACTATTACCCGTTTGAAATTCGACCCCCAATTTTTGCCAAATAATTTGGTCTTAAACTTGAACCACACACAGGTATATCACGGTAAATAAGGACATGGGGGACCAGGTTTTGGGGGGCAGCACATACAGGCTATCTGTAGATTTTAACATCCACGGGTATCTCTGTTACGTAACCCCGGCGTATGTTAAGGGCCTATCACATATTTATTATTATTATTACAGTATAATTATAATAATATTATATATATATTATTATTATATTATTATTATTATTATTACAGTCGGCCCTTCACATACGAGTTTAGCATAGGATTCGCAAATACGCGGATTGCCCTGCCGGAGGAATATTCTGTACATTAAATAATTGAAGTACATTCAAATCACAGGGCACTGCACCCCCACACACACACACGCCACCCCGCCTCCTCATCACTAGTCAGTCTCGCTTGTAACCACGCTTTGTGTTGACATCAGCATTGTAGGTCGACCTGATTTTTTTACCAAAATATCACATTTATGATATTCCTGTTTATAGGTCGACTCCAAGTTTTTGAGGGTATTGGAACAACAAAACCTTCAATAAAACACACTACAGCTAGACCTCGATTTCTTACGACGTGGTTAGGGACCCAAATCCAGGTCGGAAGTCCAATGGTCAGAAAGTCCCATATAGAAAAAAATCAAATTTTTTTAAATAAAAATCTACAATGAAATACAGTACAGTAAAAGTAATAAATAATGAGGAATGGATACAGTACAGTGAAAGTAATAAATAATAAGGAATGGATACAGTGTGACTGAGCACTTACCTTTAATGTAGTCAGCTGAATGCACATGGGCCCCATAATTTTCTAATTATACATGGTGACTACATTAACTGGAAACGTTTCGGTATAGAAAATGAGTGCGTTATTTGAAAAAAAAAAAATGGTCACAACTGCGGCGGTCGTAAGTCCCAACGGTCGTAAGTCCAAGCAGTTGTAAGTCGGGGACTTCCTGTACGTCCTATAAACTGAGGCTCGCCCTGCCTGAAACACAGAGTGTCAAGGCAAATTGTTTACCATTTATTATTACGACACTTTACACTGAAACGAGGGTAGTTTCAACAAAAATATTGTATATTTCCATTCAAGAATTTATTCAAGTCAATTAGGAGGGAATATTATTGTAATACAACAGTTTTTTTTACTGAAAACCAGTACTGTACACTAATGTACAACAATTTTACCTCTTGAGCAAAATATATGACATTTATATTCAAATTATTGGCTGTCTTAAGGATTCCAGCAATGCAAATTATAATCTCCTAACTTTAGTCTGAGATATTATATAAGATAAAAACTGTAAGCTTAAATAAACCCCCGCTGAGCAGATGGGGGGGAGGGAGGGTGGGACAGAGCCAGCCAGCCAGCGGTGCCGAGGTGGGGGGTTGAGGTGATATGTTTGACAATTTGAGCTGAAGGTCTCTGTGTGTTTATTTAACATTCCTACTATGTTTCTCCCATTTTAAAATGCCAGTAAATGACCTGGGAGAATATAATTAACATTGCTGGGATTCTTGTAAGACACTGATTAATTTGAATAGCAACATGCTCTAATTTGCACTAGACATAACAATTTTAGTACCATAGTGAAATTAGTACATGTACACTCCAGCTAAATTTACACATTTACTTTTTTAGTACGGTGTGCATGTAAATGGATGAAAATTAATCAAGAAATTTATGTAAATCTACCCAAAAATACAGTTGAAAGCTAATACTGTATTATAAAATGTACTACACAGTATTGTACACTAATGTACTACATTTTTATATCTGGAGCAAAATGTATGACGATATTCAAATTATTGACTGTCTTATTGGATCTCAAAATTTATAATCTCCTAACTTTAGTCTGAAATATTATATAAAATAAACACTTAAAGAATAAAGTTATCAATTTTTGTCTGAACACAAGGAGGGAGGTAGCCGTACAGCATGGGGGGAACGGGGGTGGAGGTGAGGTGACAGAGTGTGGTGTTTTTATTTATTTGAGATAAGATGCAGTTGGCTGAAGGCCTACTGTTTATTTATCATTACTTAAGAGTGACTAAGCTCTTCTTATAATTTGCCACCCAAATGACCTGGGTGAATATAACTTACATGCGGGATTCTTGAAAGATAGTGGTATTTATTGAATACCTGTATAAACAATCTATATTTAATAGACATAACAATTTATACCGTAATCATTTAGTACATGTACAGTACAGGTTTGTTCCATGGTAAAATCTAATCTAAAAGAAAGCTTAAAGTTGTTGTTTCTATGATTTAATCCCACTTTCCACTGTAATATGTACAACATTTCAAAATATTACATTTCCATATTTATTTCTGAGAATATATTCATTCAGTCACAGTTAAGGTAAAATATACTTGTGATGTAATATTTAATGAAAATACCTGCATTTAGAAATATATCGTAGTTTTTGTTTCAAATTTAATTAATAGAGATGTTTCAAATGTAATGAAAAAAAAATTTATATCTATAACTAAACTTTTAAAAATTAATACTTTGTTTTACATCATCCTGGCATACCATACCATGCATTTACTTTGGGTTTGCTATGATGACGAAGAGATCTCTGGCAACTGTACCGACACTCACAGCAGGTGGTGGTTGGTGCGTCATTATTGTTTACTGGTAGTAAATGGTAAATATTCTTCAACCTAACAAAACTATTACCCGCTTATTTAACTCCAATTTTTTTTTTTATGTCGGACTTACGATTAATATTCGGACTTACTACCTGGATTTGGGTCCCTAACCACGTGCTCGAGGTCTAGCTGTAGTGTGTTTCTGAAGGTTTTGTTGTTCAAATATCCTCAAAATTGGCCACCTATAAACAAGGAATATCATAGATTAACGATTTGGTAAAGTAACTCCAATGCTGATGTCAACACAGTGGTTTACAGCGAGACTGAGACTGAGTGAGGGAGCAACCAAGCGGTGTGAAGGATGGAGGGCGTAGTGCTTGGTGCCGCCAACGAAATGAAATGGCGCGCGATTTGGATGTACTTCAATTACTTCAATGTATAGAATCTCCGCGGGCAATCCGCTTATTTGCGAACCGTATGCTAAACCCCATGTGGGGCCGATTATAGAAGCTAAAGCCTCCTAGTTAGAATGCTGTACAGGTGCCGATTCATCACCTCCTAGCAGTTGCTCCAAGATATAAGGGATTCATTCGGCCCTAAATTGGAGTACTGCTTTCATATCTGGGGTGGCTCTTCTTCTGTCCAGCTGTTAGATAGGGTGAAAAAGCATTTCGTCTTATTAATCCTCCTTTTAGTCGACAATGTCTTCCCTTTCTCTCGCAATGTTGCTTCCACTCTCTTTACAGGTACTTTAACGGGCAATGTTCTGTGAATTTGGCATCCTGTGTACCGGGGCAAGGCCGTGGGCTCAGAACACACGCCTTGTTCAAAGCCCACCATTTCTGGATATCGGTCACGTGAGTAATCCGTTATAGTACTTCTTTCCTTACATAGCCAAATGTTGAATGCTCTGCCTTCTTCTGTGTTTCCACACTTATACAATCTGTCTCACTTTTAAAAGGCTGGTTTTCCGGCATCTTTCGTGGTGAGATTACAGTGTAATCTTATATTCAATTTCTTTCTGTTCTATTTTTGACCCCCAGGCCCCATTGTGGGTCGTTTGACCTGTGTCCGGGTGGGCTAATTCCTGCAAAAAAAAAAATAAAAATAAAGGGCAAATAATTGATTGGCTTACCACGATATCTGTGTTCAACAGCCGCTGTATTTCTCATCATTGAATAAATACTCTTGTACAAGTAGTGTATTTATCACCACTTAATAAGTACTATTGTAGTGTACTTATCATTACCTAATAGTGTACAATATTATGTATATGCATATACCATGGTTTATTCATTAATCATTTGTCTAAGTGTACAAGTAGCCAAATTGAGCCATCCTATAACACTGAAAGGTAGTAAATAATGTTGTGAGGAAGGTATCTTCATATTTAATATTATGCAGTGTTTTAATCATGTTGTAAGCTGGTTTGTTGAAAGCTCTCACACGAATTCATCTTGAGTAAATAACCTTCTGATACAGCTTATCCTTTTATTTTCATGTCACTTTACAAATTACATACATTATCTTTTTTCTATTACTTAAGCTGTTATATTAATCATGTTGAATCATAAACCATAAAAGACCAATCAGATGAGACTATAATGCTGAATCAATAAATAAATAAACCTGACAAAATAGCAACATCTGATGAGCCCCAGCCTGCTTACACACTCAAGTGTCTTAGTTCTCAGTAGGACTATAGCAAATCTGATTAGACCACTGTACAGTATTCTGTAAGTGTGGTTCACTTCATAAGATTTATTTAATAATCTTCCTCTTATATATTTTTATAGTTTTTCTGGTGACCAGAGCACCTCAGAGTCCTAAAAAGCCAAATCCGATATATTGAAGTCCGATTTATCAAGGTTTTACTGTACTTAAATGACAACATTTCATTCAGGAGAATATACTTATCCTTTTTTGACAGAGGATTGCAAATTTTTTTAACTGAATGTCTGCCCTGAGGCCAATGATTTATTCTTTGTGTCGTACAGTATTAGTTAATGGCCGCTATTGATGGAAGTATGTAATTTCAGGATCAATCTATCTAGGAAGACACAGCTCAAGAACCAGAGGCTGGTTATATAATCACACAAGAACATTATTTACTTATCTTGTAAATGGAGAAAATATTTTGCTGAATTCAAAAAAATCTGCAGAGACCCCATTGCTAAAGCAGTTGCAAGCTCGCATCAAGTTTTCTGGTGAGTTGGCTTAAGTTTTGATATAAAGTACAGTATCTGTACTGTAATGTAATGAATTGTTCATCAATATGATTAGCAAATTTCAGTATATAGCGCAGTACAGTACTGTACAGGGTATTTTCCGTTTTAAGAAGGGCTCTATCTGTTTAATGTTTGTTTTTTATTAAATACCATTTCAAGATTTTTATATTTCCAGAAAAGTGTATTACATCATAGTTGTACAGTAATTTTTATGAATGGTGATTGTTATCGCCACTGCCTTAGCTACACAGTGCTGGCATTTGCTGCCTGCCTCCCAGCGGCTCAACCGATGTGCCGTCTATGAGTGTGCCCTTACCCAAACAAACATAAATCTCTCAGCGTACGACCACATCCGCTATGACCTCCTTGGTCAGGCGACCTTATGACCTCACCAGATGTTTAAAACGCCGCAGCCATAGAACAAGCATGGAGTACGTTAGCGGGAACCTCGTGGACAGTGTAAATAAATTGTTAGAAAATTAGTTATGAGAGTATTGAAGATGTAGGAAAGGGGAAAGGAAAGAGCTGAGGGGATGTTCACATAAAACGGTCCTGGCTTCTGCTGAATAGACAGTTCTGCAGGTGGCATGACTGTCTGGCCATTCCATGCCCAGATCACTCTCTACAGCCATACTGTGAGCATCACCACCCTCTGCTGGCAGTAGTAAACACACCAACTCACAATCCTGTCTCTGAGTTTTGTGCTAAGACAATTTACACAGTACTTTTGTCTCTTTAAACACCATACTGATTTACATCAACCAGGACTAGTAAGTAAAGCCTACGTGATGATGTACTCCTCAGTACTGAAATATTGTGCACTAATTATGCCTAATCATTTCTGCCTTATCTGAAGCAATAAGACAATGCAGAATGAAGTGCAACTAAGAGCTGAGAGATTTATGTTTGTTTGGGTAAGGTGACACTAGTAGATGGCACATCGGTTGAGCCGCTGGGAGGCAGGCAACAAATGCCAGCACTGTGTAGCTGAAGCCAGCGACGATACCAGTGATACTGTCATTTTTCCCTCCCATCCAATAAAAAGGTATGGATTTTTCTTACAGGACCTCTGACTGTCAAGGATTACATGAAGAGTATTGATTAACCCAGTCTCTGGATATTATGCAGCTGGTCAAGACATGTTTGGAAGCCATGGTGACTACATTACTTCACCAGAGATCTGTCAGTTGTTTGGGGAAGTAAGAACTATTTTGTACAATTCTAAGCTTATTCATACTAATTTTTATTAATTCATAATCTAAACAAGCATTCTGTGTCAGTTGGGTATATGGTTAGTGGGCAAATTCAGCCTGCATCTCCTCCAGCCAATCAGATTTTTTTTTCTTCATCTCTCACACCTGTCTTAGTGCCAAAATTTGATGTGTCCAGTGACTGTCAGTAATAGTGAGTGTTACTTAGTATTTTGGCTTTTTATTAGAATTTGATACAGGTACGGGCAGAGAAAACAAAGTTAATCAAACGATGTCGACCAAAAATAAAAATTTAGCAATGTTTTCTTGTATTCAGTATTATGCAGCAGTATTTTTTGAACTTTGAGTCATTTACCTATACATGTTCCGCTTTTGTTTGGCAGCTTATTGGCGCAGGGTGTTCAGTGAGTGGTACAAGTTGGGGTCTCCCAAGCCACTACAGTTAGTAGAGCTGGGGCCTGGACGTGGAACTCTCATGCAAGATGTTCTAAGAGTAAGTTCCATTAACTGTACTGTTCCTTTACAACTTGAGTTAAAGGATAGCCTGTTACAGGTCTCCCTTGCTATACAAATGGATTAGTTTCCTTGAAAACCATTTGTGAAGTGAATATCCATATAGTAATATATCGGAAAAATTTGGTTTTATTTGCCCACAAAAAGAAAATTATAATACAGTACAGTGAGTTCTGCTATAACGCTGTGGTTTTGATAACCTTAATTTGCTCTAACGCGATTTATGAATTAGGAACGATATTTGTATAACGCGAACGCTTGTTTGCTATAACGCGATTTTTGCTTACTATTTCTCCAATTTTGTGGTACAGTGGGGTATGCTATAACGAATCTAATTGGTTCTAGAACCTTGTTCGTTATAGCATTCGTCGTTATAGGATTAATCCGTTCAGGCCCCCAAATACAAACCACTTAACACTGAAAAATATAATATAAAATTGTAAAATTGTAAAAAGTGCATAAATATGCATCTAAACCCTGAAATAAAGAATATCATTAATATTTGTAATAAAAACAATAAATTAGAAAAAAAAAAAAAATTTAAATAATGTTCGTTGTAGAGTTTCGCCTTTATAGCATTCTCAATTTTATAGGTAAAACCGTCGTTATAGGAATATTCGTAGTAGGATCCGCTCGTTATAGCATACCCCACTGTATTAACTGTGAATATAGTAAAGAAGAATATCAACAAGAAGTGTACTGGTGATAGAATTCCCTGTGATGATCGGAAAGAAAGGATATAACACTTGAAGAGAAGCTTGATTTTATCAACCTCAAAATCACCCTTCTCCCCATCAAGTAAAGTGTTACATTTACTGTATGATTTCATTATTAGATATGAATGTAACATTTATTTAGACTGTGCTATCCTTTGTGTTAGGCTAACTACTAAATTTTTTCGATTTCAAGTAATCTGCACCTAACCCTATTTTCTCCATAAGCCCTGTTATTTCTATTACGATTATAACACGATATTTACAAGAACACAATTATCGCGTTATAGCAGAACTACCTGTACTCCCAAATCTACTGCATATAGTGTCTTAACTACAGCATGCCCTTAAAATTTGTGGGGGTTTGGGTCTCAAAATGGCCACAAATAGCCAAATCTGCAAATCTCATTTGCTAACCAGGGTGGGGTTACAGTTTTACTCTGTGGTGCAAAGAAATGCTTATTCCCTTATGTGTTTTCCCTAAGGACAATTATTTCTTTTACCTGTACAGTATTGTATATATGTGTCACACACACACACACACACAGTCGTACGAGTCGTACCCAAGGTAACCTTCACACAGTGAGGTCCCAGGTACCCAGTGATAACAGCCCGTGAGACCCCAACAATGATAGGAAGGACTGGGACCACACCTCACTCATATAACACCATCTGTGAGGGAATTACTACACCACGTGAGGTCCCTCATAACACCATCTGTGAGGGAATTACTACACCACGTGAGGTCCCTCATAACACCATCTGTGAGGGAATTTGTACACCACGCGTGTGCCCCTCAAAACACATCTGTGAGGGAGTTACTACACCACGTGAGGCCCCCTATAACACCATCTGTGAAGGAATAACTACACCACGTGAGGTCCCTCATAACACCATCTGTGAGGGAATTACTACAGCATGTCAGGTCCCTCCTAACACCATCTGGGAGGGAGTTACTACATCACGTGAGGTCCCTCATAACACCATCTGTGAGGGAATTACTACACCACGTGAGGTCCCTCATAACACCATCTGTGAGGGAATTACTACAGCACGCCAGGTCCCTCATAACACCATCTGTAAGGCAACTACTACTACACCACGTGAGGTCCCTCCCACCATCTGGGAGGAGTTACTACACCACGTGAGGTCCCTCATAACACCTTCTGTGAGGAATTACTACACCACGTGGAGGTCCTCATAACACCATCTGTGAAGGAACTACTACACCACGTGAGGTCTCTCCTAACACCATCTGGGAGGAAGTTACTACACCTACATTAATCTGTATGTTCTCTAATGAAGACTTTTGTTAAACCACCAATGTATGTAATAAGTCATTTATGACCAATGTATATTTTCAGCCTTCGGCTGCAGAACTTTTCAATAAATCGTATTACATACACACACACACACACACACACACACACACACACACACACACACACACACACACACCACACATCTTGCCTCAACCGGCTGGGGTGAGACAAGACGTGGCCCTGGCGCCTCCTAGTTTTAGCAAGCAGCCAGGCCGAGTCTGTTTGGCCCCGCCACTCCCCTGCTATAATTCTTTTACCAGCCTTTACTACACCAGATCTATTCAGCAAAAAAAGATTCCAGTGATTACTGAACGATTGATTATGGAGCAGTGTTCATAGTGCACTTAAGGAACTTTCGGCAAGCATTCAAGTCATCAGTGCACAGGACATCATACAGCTCTATGAAAGTTGACAGTGGCACTTTATCGTCACCTTTTAAAGTGCCAGTGATATGACCACCGCAAGCTTACATATATCGTGATAACTGCTACGGGCGAATTCTACACTAGGGACAAAGACCACTGCCTACGACTGACAATACAATAGATGTCTACTTCAGTGTCAGTGGGTTCAAAGTGCCGCCAGTGACAAACACTTCCGTCTTCGCCCACAACAGACCACAGATGTACACCAATCACTTACTCCCCGACGACTCTGTACCATCTAAAGCTATGGAACGGTTATCCTATACAGTGTTATCGGGCGACCTGGGTCACTTTAAATTATTCCACGCCATGAGTCAGAGATGCGTCCACACATAAGCCCATTAGAACTGTAACTCTCCACTAGGAAACCGGAAAACTCCACCCCTGACAGACCATACCACCACACTGAAGTTCCACGGATATGGTATGATCTCCCGCCTTTACTGCTATCCAACGTCACTTCCCTAGCTAACAAGTCTCGACGAGCTGGCAACTACAGTCAGGTCAGTCAGCCGCGAGCTGTCAAGGCCATAGCGAGGCGGCACCAGCCTGAAAATGTGTCATATTGAGGATATCAACTCTTTCATCACCTCGCTCACATAGACGCTGGATGGGCGCTAGCCCTTCTGCTCAAGATGACTCCACGCCTGGCCACGCCTGGATGTTCAAGTCCCAGCAGATGGGAAGATTATGATGGTCAGTGGTTTGCCACGGGCACACTCCAAGAACACTGCTTCTCATTAAGCAATCTGTGTGGCATACCTCATCCGCCTCGATCACCCACCAGGAGACATTCTTATCAATCATCTCATCACCACCTCAGACCACTTTCAGAGCTAGGGTACCCATGTGCCAAGTTAGTATTATGGGGATTTAATGAAATTCGACACCACTGATATCCAGACCAGCTATCACCATCACAAGTTGTGACTCTTTCCCCACACACGGTCAAAACACTTGACTCTTATCTTAACTGACTTAGGCTGGACTAGTACCTACCACTTAACCAATGCCTCCTATCGGGTGTAGCACACCTATTAGTGCTCTGGTCCCTTGTGCTGCTACTCCCCGGCCATACACAGAGATTCTACATCACATTCCACAGGCCGACACACGACTTCTGCAGGCGCTCTTTCGGCAGTGGATGGTTCACTATCCCTTGACTGAAGTGCTTGAAGGATGACGGGAAACCAAAATGGATAAATTATACCAACACCACCACGAAGCTCACTCACCACTTCTTCCCGAGAAGTCCGGCCAGATCTCACCCAGCTGACTTGCCCTGGATCACACCTCGGATCAAAAGACTTATGCAACAGAGAGACAGAGCTCTTTCATCTCAATGACCATATCCGCTACAGGTCCTTCAGAACTGAGTCATCCGCTAACATGACTGCAAAGAGTCCCACTACCCAACCAAATTACAACACCTGAAGCAGACTAACATCAGTCAGTGTGGTATGGTGTTTAAAGAACTTCTGTGACTAAAACACAAGACACACACCCCTCCTTCCTAGCCATCTCACAACAAGGATTTTAGGCTTGAGAGCAAACAACAACTATTTTCGCTACTATATGCCACAGACGCCTCCCACTGCTTGACACAACCATCCTCCCTGCTTACCTACCAGCCCCCTCTTCCCACTGGGACTTAGTAGAAGAATTTGACGAGGCAAAACGCCTGGACAACTGTACTAAACGCTTACCAATTCCCATTGACTTACCAATGAAACTCTTCATGAGCTCTCCCCAGAGCTTGCTAAACCCCTATGCTTCTTCTCAGTCAGTTTCAGATTCAGCTGACTGGAAGACCCTATGTATCACCAGTGCCCAAGTCAACCAGCCCACAATCTTTTAAATCAGCTTACGACCTATTGCAATCACCCCAATACCCAGTCGACCCAGAAAGTTTTGTGTTCGGATTACGAGGTTGATATTGCAGGAAATGAGACCCTCAGCAATTTGGCAACATGAAACTTCTCCACCACCACTGTCTTGTCAGCTTTCTCGACATATATACCGCTATCTCGAAACGAAAACGTCTGTAGCTCGTTTCGCCTTTCATTGATTTCACTAAAGCGTTTACCTAGTCGACCACAATATAATTTATCAAATGCTTATTGACCTCAGCTTCGGAGAGAAGTCTATACTATGGCTTACAGACTTCCTCAGTGACCGACGCCAAGCTTGCACGCTCTGAGGGGCTGTTCCCCACCTTCAGTCACTCACCTGTATGCCCCCAAGGCACCAAGATGGGACCACTCTGCTTCCTTATGCTCATCAATGATGCTCCCAAGAGAAACCCCTGTTTCGGAAATATGTCGACGACCTTCCACCATTGGGATCAGCATCAACAATTTGCTCCCAACTATACCGGCCTTCAGGATTTATTGAACAGTCTCCAAAACTGGGCCACCAACAACCACATATGCGTCACCACTTCAACCATACCAACACCATGTTGCACATCATCCTCCCGACATTGTCTCTACTCTTCCATTACTCTAGGTTCAACACACC